TAAACTGTGGTCAATGTCATGAGACAAAGTATATGTGAACTGCTGTATGGAAAGTGAATTTGCTCTGTAAATCTTCACCCAAATCACAATTAAATATATAAATAAATAAACAAACAGTGCTGGGAAATTTGGGTATTTACGTGCAGAAGAATTCACAAGGATCTTCACACCATGCACACACACACACATCAAAACAGACCAAGGACCTTAATCTTAAAACCAAACCATAAAATCCATAGTAGAAAATAGAGGGGCAAAGCTGTGGGACCTGGGTTTTTGTGAGAGATGAGAGACTTTGTATGTTGACAAAAGCACAGGCAGTAAAAACCAAAATATATACATAAACGTTACCTCATAGAAATTAAATACTTCTGTTAATCAAAAGACTTGATCAGAAAGTGAAAAGACAATCTACAGTGGGAGAAAATTTGGGGCACACATAAAGCCAATAAAGGTCTAATACCTAAAATTTGTAAAATACTCCTACAACTTAACAACAACAAAACAAAACAAACAAAAAAAGCCACTCCAGAAATAGGCTCAGGACTTGTACAGACATTTTACCAAAGAGGATATTCAAATACCAACAAACACATGAGAAGATGCCCAAAGGCATTAGCTATTCGGGAGATGCAAAGCAAAACCACCATGAGACACCGTCTCTCCTCCATGAGAAGGGCAGTGATCAAACAGCAGAAAATAGTGAGGTTGTAGAGAACCAGGCACCTTCATCCATTGCTGCTGGGATTGTAAACCGGCATAGCCATTGTAGAAAAGTCTGATAGTTCCTCAAAAAGTTGAACACAGAACTGTCCAGCAATTCCACTCTTAGCAATTCCACCCACAAGAGCTGAAAGCAGGGAGACAACCAGACACAGGTGCAGCAGTGTTCATTACAACACTATTCACAATAGCCAAAAGGTGGAAACCACTGGAATGGCCATCACCATAGGAACGGCCATCACCATATGAATGGATAAAAAAAACATGGCATATACATTCAAAGGAGTGTGAGTCCTAGAGAGAAAAGAAGTGCTGATGCATGCCACAACATGGATGAACCCAGAGGGCATGACACTAAGCAAGGTCAACTATGGAATGACCTCCCCGAGGACAAGAGTCCTCAAAACATTGCTCACCACTTCACCTAAAGAATCACCTTTCTAACTGACACTTTGACAGGGTATGAAGGAAAAAACCAAAGCCAAACTCACTGCCATCAAGTCGATTCCGACTCATAGCAACCCCCATTGGGCTTCCAAGGCTGTAAATCTTTATGGAAGCAGATCGCCCCATCGTCCTTCCATGGAGTGGCTAGTGAGGTTGAAGCACTGACCTCCTGGTAAGTGATAAGCAGCCAAATGGCTTATTCATTATGCCACCAGAAAGCATTTACCATTTCAAGAAATTCAGAAGAGTCAACCAAGCATCTCACACTGATATCTTCAAGGTTCCTGAAGTCTAACCTGTCAAAAGGTGAACTTGTTTTCCTTCCCACACAGATGTCTTTATTTCGTAACTCAATGAATTCTCCCACCATCTGCTGAGTCACTTCAGCTAGAAAGCTCAGAGAAAAGCATTCTTTCTCCAACCACACATCCAGTTAAGACTTGGGCCCAGAATCTCCACCTCTCTGGATCTAACTTGCTCTCCTCTCTTTCTAAGTGTTCAGACTCATAATCTCTTAGAATTTTATGGCAATGTTCCTGCACATCATCTCTATTTTAGTCTCCACACTGCTGTGGGTTTATGTTCTCAAAACACATATCTGAACAGTTATTATAATTCACAGTTATAAAATGCTTTCATATACATATTCCCATTGAATCAGAAAGCACGTCTGTGAAAACAATCTCACTCCATTGCACGTAAACTAGAAAAGCTCCTTGCACAACAGGTGCTTCAGGAAATGTGTGTAATAACATTCATAGCAGTAATGTAGACAAAAATTAGCAATGATCCAAATTTTGTGATATATTCACACAACAGATGATCAAAAGGTGATGAAAAATAAATTGACTAAACGGAACAGCACACAAATTTGGATGAATATTAACATAGTCAACCAAACAAAAACTGCCATCGAGTTGATTTCAACTCATAGCAACTCCCATTGGGTTTCCAAGGTGGTAAATCTTTACGGAAGTAGATTGCTTCATCTTCCTTCTGCAGAACAGCTGGTGAGTTTGAACCGCCAACCTTCTGGTTAGCAGTCAAATGTCTTAGGCACTGTGCACCAGGGCTTCTAATAATGTAATATTGAGTGAAAGAAAATAAATTGAATTTAAAAAAATAAATATATAAAGTGAATTCTGGGTTACCACACACAGCCTTGTAAGATTTCTGTCAATTTCATTAACAGCTAAAATTAAACTGCCTGTTATTTAGACAGCATAGGTGTATATATACACACACTTAAGACAAGACTATTAAAATGGCTACCAAAAAAAGCACCATGATGATAACCATAAAAAGGAAGGGAAGAGACACAGGTTCACGGGCTGGGGGAGAAACACGGGTAAAAAGATCCTAGTGACAGTGAGCTAGTTCTTCGGCTGGATGATGTCATTATGGATGCTGACCATATTGTTAATTATTGATTAATTACTAAGAGAGCCATGCAT